AGCTTTATTCTCACTTATCCCGAATTTTTTGATAAAATGGCCTTTCATGGAAAATTTTTTTTTGGAAAAACGTTTGGTTGAGTACAAAAGTCGCTTTGCGGTTAAAAATTTTTAAAAACTTTGGATTGATTTTGGAATTTCTGCCACCATCAAAAAAATTCCAATCATTCAGTTTCCATTTATGGGAATTATATGATAAGCGTTTTTTATTCAAAAATCGTTTGATTTTCGTTGCTATCAAGTTTTTCGAAACTTAGTAACACTGACTGTTTTGTCTGCCATTTTCAGGTTCATTCTTAGATTTTTGACAAATTTCATGATCAGAAATGTTTCTAGAAAAACTGCTTAGCATATAAATTTTATGGAAAATATATGATAAGCATTTTTTCCATACATTTGTATACGTATGAAATTGAATGAAACGTATTTTTGGAGTCTGAAGATCAACCCGGAAGTCCAATTTTCACAAAAATTGGCAAATGGCTGCATTGCGCAATAACAGAATACAATTGTTCATCACACACAGCTTCCTAAAATCAAAGATTACACAGTAAAGCTAAAATTTATGTACAAAAACGGCATGTGAAGTTTGGGCAGTAAAAGGCCAGAAATCGAATGACTAGCAGAGTTAAATAAATTTGTATGTTTTTCTTCTTTTTTTAATTTTATTTTTTTCTGTGTTCGTCAAACTCTATTGACAAAGACCCTGGTTGTTTTTAGAAAATTTTACAAAAATATCGAGGAAACATTTACCGCTTATTTATTAGATAAGCAACAGTTTCATTTTGCATCGAGAATCTTTGTGAACAAATCGAGACACGCTGTGTCGAGTTGTGAACAATCTTTGAGATGCAATATAAGCAGTTGCTTATCTGGTATGAAACACATATACTCACAAAATTGAACAAATACTCACTATTGAAAAAGTTTTCATTCTCAGACATGATTTCCACTATCTATTTTTTTAAATTTCAAAATGGACCGAATTTATTCACAAAATTGATGACTAATTTTTAAAGCTCCAGCAATTGCCTCGTAAATTCAATGGCTGAAAAATAGATAGGAAGCTCGGATAAAATCCTGGATCCAGTTCTCCAAAAAACGTACACTACTTTCGCTAAGGCGGCGGTTGAATTGCTTTTCCCTATAAATGACATCGTAAAATTTGGCTGTATAACATCCAGAAAAACGACAACGAGTTTCTTGGATGCTCAAAGGACAACCTCTTAAAGAGTTTTTTTACCAATTAAAAATGAATACATGGCCCGTTTTTGCATCCAAAACGTTTTTGCGACGAATACCATCCCAAAATTTTTGATGAGATGTTTGTTAGCCTGCATATGTTATTCAATGAAGAGCTACCGACCGAAAAACCATATGTGTTTAGGAACCCTGAGTATGAAAAATGGGACTTTTAACAATGTATTCAATGGGCATGTTGTGATAAACATAAACAACTAAATCAAATTACGTTTTTGAGTTGTGCCTCATATAACTGTGCATTATTTAGCAGTGCTTTATTTAAATATGGTTTGGTTTCAATTTTAGAATTGTTTAAATAAGGAATGTAAATATATTGCACACTTAGGTTTTATCATAACAAGCGCTATAAAATTTTTGATTCCTCGCTTGTTTCTTCGAAATTCAATGCACAATTTGCACAATTTTTGCAAAAATAATGCAAGTTTTGCACAAAAAATCAAGCATGTTTATGGCAAAAAACGTTTATTATTTGCATTCCGGGATAGCTGAGGTTTTCAAATCACGTGATCTTGTGAAAAACATGAATATCAAAAATGATTACATTCAGACTATCGGAATATTAGGTCGCGGCTTTTTACTAAACACCCCACTACCCGAGTCACCAAAGGCCATTTTCGTACAAAACCATTAGTTTTACTTTAATAAAAAATTAATTGGATCAGAAAAAATTCCGATTAGTACTAATTTCAACGTGTAATGAATCAATTTGATTATTGTTCCGACTATTGAAAATGGGAAGGATTTTTGTACTTGTGGGTTATTTAGTTTTTTTGTCGTTGCAAATCCCAAAAAATTTTTGAAATGGGTCTCATATTATATTGTTTCAAAGTTCTTTCAGCCGTGTCTAAAATTACTGTAAAAAGTTTTTGAAAACAAACTTTTTAAGTGACGAGAAACACCGATTTGAAGTTTTTGAGCTTCAGTCTTATTTCGAGGGATTTAAGCGTCCGAGTAGCGTCAATATCTAAAAGTTTTAGATAAAACAACTAGATTTCTCTAAAGCGAAAACTACTAAGCTCTTCCTAGGCAAAAATTTGCCAAATTACGCGCTTCATAGTCAAAAAAAAAATTTCAAAAAATACTAACATTTTTTGATTTTTCAAAACTTTTCTTCTTCATTTTTCATTTCTATTCATTTTTTTAAAAATGTTTTAGAATACGTCTAAAACTTTAAACTGCTACTTATTGATATAGCTTTTCTATCGAATCGCCAACAAACCATGATATTAATTTGAAAAAAAAACGGGCTGAAAGTTTTCGATTTATAGATAAAATTAGAGCGAAAAAAGCGAGCGAGAAGATTTACATTAACTTATTTATGCTTAATTTAAGCCGTGAAAACTTAGTTTTACTCGTATAGAAATAGTTTTTAGAGTCTGAATCACTGTCTGAATCAAGAAAGTTCTAAAGATCAAAAAAATTCTGCAAAAAAACTGAAAAATCTTTGATTTAAAAAAAAAAAAATTTGGGAATTAAATTGATTTTTTTGGTGTTATGTTCTTTCGCTACAAAAAAATTTGCCAAATTACGCTGATTGTCGAATATGCTAGAAAGCTCTAGTTTTTTGTTCAGATCCTCTTATCACACCGGGAAGGAAAAAAACTAATCTAATTTGAAAATATTTGTTTTCTGTGTTTTGTAAGACAATGGTTGGAACATTCTGTGCTATTTGCACATTAACCGGCCATACTTTTTAAAAACTAAATTACTATAGTAAATGTATAATTTTAATATTAATTTAAAAAGTCAGTGAGCATCTGTTTCTGATTTTACTTTATTTGAACATTTCTTGTTTTTATATTAAGCAGTTTTTCTAATCAGTGAACAATTTTTGTAGAACTTATGATATCTACAGAATGTTTTAGGCTAGACCAATTTGTCAAGACGTCAAAACAATTGTTTTTGTCTGAAATCTTACTACAATCATAACTCTTGGCATAAAATTAAAGACACAATTTGAATAAAACAGCTTGTATCAGGGCAAAACCCTGTTTGTCCCGACTGCTTTTTCTATGGAGTAGTTTAAATTTGAAAAATGATAAAATTTCAGTTTTTCTTCAATGTTTTTGAAAAATTTTCTCACACGCAATGTAAAGGGATGCATTTCGCAAAGTAAAAAGTAGGTCAAAGAGCAATCCTTTATCTAGTTTGGAACGATTTCTAAGGCGGATTAAACCTTCGCTTATGCTTTGATAACACCGCGCGTTAATTGTCCCAAATTGGCAACCTTTAAATCCCCATAACCATGCGAGAAATGATCAAAGGTGAAGTATCTTCTTAAATATTACCTTTTTAATATTAAAAAATTTTCGTCAAAAATTGCTAGTTAAAAAGTTGATCTGGAGAAAAAAGTTAACCCGAGCACAAACATTCCGAAATCAAAAATCTGATGCATCAAAAACAGATTCAATAAAAAATCAGTAGACAATCTAAGTAAGTATAAAGAAAGCGGCTCGGGACCTGCATTCTATAAACTTATTTAGAACGTCTATCAATTATGTTACTTAGAATGTCTATTAATCTACGAAATATTTGAGCTCGACGAGTTAGTTTAAAGTCAAAATAGTTCTAAATTGATTTGAGGCCGGCTAATTGGTCTCGTTACTTCCATAAAACACTCAAACAGAAACAGCAAACAACTTGTTCTATTTAGCGAAAGTGTCGATTATAGGTTGTAAAGAAAGCGAAATATTTGAATTTTTTTCTTCAAAATGTCAGTTATTATTGATATTGATTTTACCACACGTACGTTTTTCTCTTCTTACATTCAAAATAGTTTTTTTTTTGTATTAGAACAGGAGTGGATTTAGGTGAGGGCGGACGCCTCCTCCTCAGGAATTCGAACCTCTGCCGACTCAAAGGGTCCCCCCTTTGTACTACTTTCCAATATCCATTTTTGGCCGACAGACTCTAAAATTTTTCTAAAAGCGCTTTTGGCGCCAATATATACTAACTTTGAGGGGGAGCGCGCGCCCAAAAAACGCGATTTTTTGTCAACATTTTCCAAAAAGAGCCCAAAAATGGCTTTTTTACGTCGTTAAATTTTTTTGAAAATCCGCCCCCCCCCCCTCGAGAAAACCCTAGATCCGCCCCTGTATTAGAACCAGACTGAATTCGGAAAAAAAGCGAGTAGTCTATGTTTCGCTAAATTCCAAGCATTGTGTTTTTTTTGGAAAAAAAATCCCAAGTACTTTGAGAGTTATTAAGAAAAAAGCGGGATACAGTCAAAATAGAGGCAAAAGACGGGAAAAACCGCCTGTCAAACTTATTGCTCCTGATTTTTACACTCAGTGCCTGTAATTGGTTCATTTTTGAAATACTGAACAAAGTTTTTAAATTCTGAACAGTTTTTTTTTCACTTTTTAAATTCTGAACAAAAAAAACTCAGAATTTCAAAAATTTTTGATTTGCCGAAAACAAATATCCCCATAATAAAAGGGTTGAAGGGGACTCGGAGCATTCATTATTAGCAAAAAATTAAATTAAAACTTATTCTGAATCTGCAATTTTTGTTTGGTCAGTCCGCTAATTTCCAGGGACCCTCCATGATCGCATTTGTATTCATTGACTTTTTATTTATTTAATATTAACCAGCTTTTGAGATACAATAACATGAACTGAAAAATAAATTTTCAGAATGTTTTTCTTGAAACCTCAAAATGAATCAGAAAGGATCCCAAATCCGAACCTTCCAAAAAATCATCAAGAAAAGATGGAGATACTGCAGTTAAATTTAAATGCAGCTCTGTTGAATGACAAAAATACAGGTATCAGCATTTGGCGATACTCAACTAAGAGATGTAAAGGAACTCCAAAAGATGAAACTAAATTAACTCAAATACTAACAACAGAACTATGGTAATCTAAAAAACACTGGCTTGAAGTCAATTCTGATGAAATCTGTCTTGAGGCGGAACAGTTGCGGTTTTCTGGTGCGGATGACAGTTGGCTGTGCAGAAGAGTTTGGGCTTGGGAACTCCTTCTGCTGGACAGTTCCTCTTTGATTTCGTGCAGTCTTGATGCGTATTTCTCATTTATTATTTTTGATGGGTTCCTCGTGGGGAAATAGCGAGTCTAAAACAAATTATTCAAATCTCCTATTTAAAAAACTGATTATTGCATTTATTGCTTACCAGTGTTTTCAAACTTTTAAAATGCAAAAAAAAACAATTTAACAAATTTTTCGGATTTATACTCAGCGTGATTGAATTGAGTTTCGTAACAAAATCAGTTCATATGACAAAATAGCAATTTCACGCTTGGTTAATTCACTATCATTTATTAATTGAGACAATAATTGAAGTTCATCTTGAAATCCTTTTGTTCGTGCAAAAATGGCACATGGAGGAGGGGCAGGGGCAGATTAAGGGAAGGGGTGGGATCGTGGGGGGTGGGGGCGTGGGGGTAGCGGACCTTCCACTCTCAGGGATTCGACCCCCTGCCGACCCAAAGGGGTTTCCCTTTGAACTATTTTGAAACCGCCATTTTTGGCTGATGGATGGACCCCAAAACTTTAGCGCCAATAAATTTTTACTTTGAGGGGTGTTATCCGTACGGATATTATAGCAAAACATCCAGTATTGATCAAGCCAGTTCAGGTGCTAACATAACCAGTTGGTAACATTAGCATGTCATAGACTTAGAGTAAATTAATTAACCTATAGAAGTCTGATGATTAAATAAGTACCTATTTATACGTAATCACATATGTACTAGTACTTATAAGGCACTGTCTCTCAAATGATTCGAGGTCAGTGTCAGCCAGATTTAAACATAGAACGTTGAATTCAAGTTGCTCTTTTATTTGTTTAATTCTCAACCAGCACACAGCGTAGTTCTCACTAACACAGAACCAACATAGATTATACCTCACCTAACGGCCGAGGGTATAACATGGCGCAGCCAGCAGTTCCAAAGAACCCGCTGGGAATAACACCATTCTGGCAAAAAGCCTCAGCGGAACCACCGGTAGAGTGGGACAAGTGGAACCAGCAACTATTCCTCGGCATTATTGCAAAAGACGGCGTAAACCTGACAAAATTGTTACAAAATCTTCCAGCTATCCGAAAACCTCAAGAACCGTGATACGAACTCCCTAACGAGGGGGAAACAGACAAGCAACTCCGAGATCGCAATCTGCGGAACCAGGAGAAACGGGTAGCGTGGGAAAACCAGTGTCAACATTTGGACAACCTGGGTCCAACAGTAGACGGAATTCCATGAGAACAAGCCGACATTAAATGCGGGAGCTACATCTACTTGTGTTTGGGGACGGAAGGTCAAAGAAGATTGACACAATACTATCCGGACCTCAAAATACAAGAAATTGCAACTATAGACTTCTGGAACAGACTAACCCGTCTTTTCGTCAAGGCACGAAATGTAACATTCGATCGGTATGAGCCTTTCCACGCAAACAGAAAAAAAACAGAATCCCTGGAAGAATTCCATTGCGGACTTACGGAACTCGTGGTAAAAGGAAATTTCAAATGTACAGCATGCAACGATGGAGGCCTCGAATCCGAAATAGTCAGAGACTTGTTTACAGCAAACATGTCAAACGACGAAGTTCTACAAGATCTTCTTGCTGAAACAAAAACGCCGGAACAAGCATTGGATTACGCGGTAAGACGTGAAAAAGGCCTAGAGAATCAGATTCATATCAGAAAACAGGGAACTTCAAACAGTCACACCGGATTTTCAAATATAAAGTCAGAACCGGTAAACTTCGTCCAAAGGCGGGGTGGCTACAAGTCTCAACCGCGAGGTGGACGCAGTAGAGGAGGAACAAAGTCGAGGAGTGACACAGATAAATCTGGACAGAAAAAAGATTGTTTCAAATGCGGCAACGCATTCTCAGCAAATCATTTAGCACAGTGTCCGGCGCGCGACAAAATTTGCAATAAATACACCAAGAGGGGTCATTTTGCAAGGTTCTGCAAATCTAGCGAGGTAAATGCAATCCAAGAGGATAGTCCACAACAACAAGATATTCAAGACACCGATATGACCGCCTACGTCAATTACCTGCAAGCTGGTGACATTATTCCGGGGTGGGAACTAATCCATCCGGATGATACATCCAACAACTGGATAAATTTCGAACCAAGACGGGCAGAAGAAACCACCAACACAGATCTACAAGGACATTAAAAAAGGTGCGCTCGCAGACAAATATTATCGTTTTTTTGCTGACACAGGATCCCCAACATCTTTCGTGAACGAAAAAACAGCCAAACTAATGTCTACAACAGTCAAGTCAGCAGTGAGAACAAGAATGAGAGAGGACGACGAAGCTAACCGAATGGTCTGCTACAATAGATACAAAATCCCGTCCCTTGGTCGCCTAACCGCCCCAATTGAATCAGGTGGTTGGAAGATCCACACAGCCTCCTTCATAGTGGTGGACGACAGACGAGCGAACATCCTGGGGCGCAATATTTTCCCACAAATTGGCATACAGCTATACAGGAGAGAAAACCAGTTGGTAAGTCAGCACTACATGTTAACAGTATCGATAGTTCAGATACACAAATTGCGACGTGGGTAAGTACCTCGTACCTTGGACTCTGTACACGAATCGGACGCTCAAAAAACCATATGGTGCATACAGAATTCTTATCAGAATTCAAAGCTTTACAACAACGAGGGCGCCGCATTCCCATCCATATCCAAGAAAAGGTGGAACACCAAATAAGATTTTTAATTGATCAAGGCCACATCATTCGCCTTGAAAAATGCAGTGATCAACAATTCATAAGCCCTATTGTAATCACTGTTAAGAAAGACGGATCAATTAAATTAGCCATGGATTCAAAACAAATAAATAAGTCGATCCACAAAAATAAGTACCAGATGCCGATTATTGATGTTCTGTTAGACAATATAGCGCATTCGGCACAGGAGGGTACAAATAAGCCAGGAACGACATATTTTTCAACAATAGATCTACACTACGCGTATAGTCAACTGCCACTGGACGATACAACCCGTACGCAGTGTAATTTCAGTATAATTGGGGGAAAGGCAATGGGAACCTATCAGTTCCAAACTGGTTTCTACGGGCTCACGGATATGCCCGCAGAATTCCAGAAAGCCATCGATCTAACCCTTAACAACGAAAAAGACACGTTCGCATTTCTAGACGATATTTTAATTATATCACACGGCACAAAAGAGCAGCACATCGAAAAACTGACTAAAGTCCTTAATAAATTAGATACTGAAAAAATGGCAATTTCGATCAATAAGTGTAAATTTGGTTGCAAAGAAGTAGATTGCTTGGGGTTTGTAATAAACGAACACGACACCACACCTATGCAGAAGAAGACGGACGCAATAATAAATCAATCTAACATACCCAAAAACATTCAAACAATTGAAGAGTTTTATGGGTTCGATCCATCATCTAAACAAGTTTATTCCCAACTTAGCTCAATTATGTAACCCTTTGAGACCACTACTGTCTACGGCAAACAAATTTAATTTTCATTAGAGCGATGAAAACGGAACAGCGTTCAAAAACATTCTTAATGCCTTTAAAAATATTGCGGAAAACAGAAACTTCGTAAGTGACAGGGAAACTCGCATTGTTTGTGACGCGAGCCGCGAAAGAGTAGGCGCGGCTCTTGAACAAGATACACCAGATGGTTGGGCAACCATTGCGTATGCATCAAGGTTCATAAATTCATGCGAACAAAAATACTCGGTAAACGAACTCGAGCTTTTGGCCGTAGTGTGGGCCATTGAGCATTTCAAGTATTAACTATACGGTAGACGTTTTACTCTGATAACGGACCATCAAGCATTAGTAAGTGCCCTAAAAAGTAATCGGGGCAACAAAACCTACCAAAGTAAGTTAACCAGATGGATTGATCGACTCATTCCATTTGAATTCGATATACAGCATCTGGCCGGTAGTGAAATGGGTCTCATTGACTACATTTCACGACACCCGGTCGGGAAACCACAACCCCCGGCGTACTGGGATGAACAATTTGTCGTAGCATTAATCGATGACTTCGTCAAATGCGTAGAGTTCCAATATAGCAGCAGTAATATCCTATCCTTGAATAATGTTAAATCGATTAATTATCTAAGCACCAAAGAGTGGAAAGAAAATTTCGCACGTTCAAATTCGGTTCACACACAAACTGCATTCACTGTTCGTAGTCAAGTGTTTGAATCAAGTCGCTTCTCATTGAAACCAAATTCCAAACAAAATTCGGAATTCAATCAAATTTCAATCATAAATAGGCAATTGCAGCAAGGCATGGCATTACCTCCGTTTCGACGAATTACGCATAAAGCTCACAGTGGTGTACAGACCCAACTTACTTTTTCCCCTATAAATTACTTGTCCTTTAATGAATTTCTCTCAAAATGACCACCGCCAGAACTCACAATCAGTGACGTAAAACACCAAGTTATACCGTCAACGGAGAGCCTTACAGTCAGAAGAGTTGATAACGACCGGGTCGATGCAATTTGTCAGACTCTGGCATTAGCGGAAACACCGGACACAGAGTGCCAGACGCAGACTGAAGAGGACCGCTCAACCGGACAGGACACTGAATGTCAAACAACCGCCAGCATAGAGGAAGAGGACACCCCGATGTTCCGCAAAAACTTACGAAAAGTGATGGACGTAAGCTTTTTAGCAGCCGCAACTAGACGAGACCCAAATTTATCGCCGCTCCTAAACATGGTTAAACAACAGAAATGGGACAACATTAAGGATTGCTATGGCCCTTAGTTTTATAATGTAAGACACCGCCTGTCCGTCAGAGAAAATATCCTTCTATACAACGACAGAGTCGTTATCCCAAAGCAGTTAAGACCCACACTTATGGATGCACTACACCTTACACATCCGGGACAAGGGGGAATGCTAGAAGCGGCGAAACATGTGTGGTTACCCGTATTTACATCGCGATATTGTAGCAACTGCCCAAAAATGCAAAAACTGCCGTGAAAAGGGTAAGAACTTTAAAGTAATCTCGGGTAAACAACACTACACAACATTGGATGCGGTGGTAGAACCAAACGAAGAAATTCAATTGGATTTTGCGGGG